TGGGATGAAAAGAATAAAAGGTATTGGATGGGATGAATAGGATTGGATGGGATGAAAAGAAACACTCAGATTTTTCTTTTTACAAAAGTAGTAAATAACATAGAACTATACTTTACACAATTTATAAAGTAGTGCATCTAACAAATTGCCTTTAACACAATTAAAATTGAAAACAATGTTTTCTCTAGTGAATTTTATTCTTGTATATATTAATCATAAAAGTAATTTTCATTGTTAGAAAAAAATGTGGAAAATATTTTATTTGGTTTTGTCTTGTTGGATTAGCTAGGCTTGTTTTCAAAGAGGGAGAGGGAAAGTGGAATTTTAATCATAAGATATCACACAAATTCTGAAGTGTTTTTTTCAAGATAATTTTCTTACAGGCCGAATAACTTAGAAAATCGACGACGATATAATCCAAGCAATCTTATGTCTATTTCATACTCCATCATAGAGCTTAACAATATATCAACATGTAAAATCAAAGTAAAATGGGCCTGTGTAGGTGTACACTGTTTAAATAATCAGCTTCATGTTTATTTAAAAATTCAAAATTATAACTTACAGTCGTCTTTCTATTCCTCAGTTTTAAGGACAATTTCGTTTACGTAATTTAAAATTTCAATATTGTTTTGAAACATTTTTGTTAAAAATTTAAACTTCCAAGTTATAAATCCACCCTTTTTATCTAATTAATTAGTTTATATTATTATCATCAACTTCTTTTCGTGTCCGTCCTTTTAACAAGTTAACAATAATTATTGATAAACACAATTTTTAGGAAAAGTTTATGTTATTTGCTGGAAAAATAGGTATGAACATAATTTATGATCTGTTAAAAGAAATTTCATAAATTCAACGAAAGGTTAAAATGTACTTCAAATCTAAGGCCATTCGGGAGGATGATAATAGGATTGGATGGGATGAAAAGAATAAAAGGTATTGGATGGGACGAATAGGATTGGATGGGATGAAAAGAATAAAAGGGATTGGATGGGATGAATACGATTGGATGGAATGATGAACTGAGATCAATAATCTGTCTGAATGTTATAAAATTGTGTTTGTGGATCTAAACTAGAGAATTGACATTTAAAACAATTTAAACTGAACTAAATTTAACATTATCGTTAAATCTTATTCAACCAAAAAAATGTGTTTAGAGGAGGAGGAGGGGGGGGGGGCAAGGTCACATTAAGAGAAAACAAGACAAAATGATATATTTTGAAAATGCTGAGTTTGTTTTTTTTCTTAATTTTATATTTAAATAGTTTAGCATATTGTGTTAAATCATGAAAAGGCAGAAAGATGATTAATTAAAAAAAAAAGTCTCACGTAGAATTTTGCAAAATTATTTTCCAATATTTTTTCCTCGAGCTAACAAGCTTCTCGTGTCACGGGCTGACAGTGTAAAGAATAGAATTAATTTGTCAAACTAGTTTTTTGCTATTTTATTTCAAAATTTGAAAAATGAAAAACTGAATAGACATTATGGAAAATTTGAATAACTACATCTGCTGGTATTCTCAAAAGGAACTGTAGACGTAATGTAAAGTGACTTAGCATTTATAAATTGGCATGTCCGATTCTCATAGGTACCCTTTAAACCTTTGTTTTAATGTTTATGGGTGAATACAGAAGATTCTAAAATTCAAGATAAAAACGACGTATATCTTTCTAATTTTTACTCAGATAATAAGTAAAAGGTTTCGAGAATTATTGGAGAACTGTAAAATAAGCCATGCAAGTTTCAAACCATGGACGAAAGACAAAAAATAAATTTTCCAATCCTGATATTTCTTTAAATATTAGTTGAACCTACCATAGTGAGCGTATTCCTCCTCTCTGGGTTCTGTATACGGATATGTGTGTCCGTTTAGATTAGTAGGGTAGGGTACAGGGTAGGTGTATGGCGTCACACTACCATTTTGGTTAGTAGGGTAGGTTTCAGAGTACAGGGTAGGGTCACCCAACTCATGATTAGTTGAATAAGGTACTGGGTAGGTATTGAGTTGGTTAGAAACACCCTCATGAAAACTTACAGTTTTACGGGTCAAAGGATTAAAGGTGAAATCAAACTGACTCTCAGTAGTCCCTGTAGTAGGGGACCGGAGCCGTGTAAACTGATGACCTGAACTTGTTCTAGGATCACTGGGACGCTTTCCCCAGGACATCATGGTTTTCATAAACCCCGGGGACCCTGAGCTCCGTCTTGGATCAGCAGTCGTCTCCTCGTCCTTCCGTCCAGGGAACAGCATATGGGTTCTATAGGCTCCACTCCCCTCGAAGAGTCCCCCGGATGATGATTCTCCAGTGTCATCTTGATCCCGCTTTCCACGTTTACTCTTGGCCATCAATCCAGTTCCACCCTTCCCTCGACCCCCTTTCCGTCCGGTAGAGTTGCCCGTCACCCCTGCCTCTGAAAATTGTTTTGCAAACATCAAGGACATGGTGGAGGGTTTATATTATCACTTGTTTTATAACACGGTTAGACACAGTGGTTGCATGGTTTAGTTAGGGGTTAGTATCTCCTGTAATCTCCAGTTATGGTTTAGGACAGGTGAGAGGTTTCCACTAACTGTTGCATATCCCGGAGCTAGCAGCTGACTACCGGAGACTGAGAGAAAATTACTCCGAGACTGTCAGAATACCTTGATCAAAGATTTAGACTCTTGGAGTCGACATTGTCACAAGTTGGTTTTTATTCAAGGCTAAACCTTATCTTAACAATATCGAACAGACTCTTCAAGTCTATTTCTCAGCTCTGATTGACACAATTATGAGAAAATAATTTGTCTTGATTTTATCTTTTTAACATTTATCTCTCATTTTTTCAAAACACCTGGGTCAAATATTCATTTTTATTAAGATTTTTTTCCAACATTTTGTGTTTGTTTATTATTTATTTCTTTGTAACGGATATGACAACTATAAAAGTTTAAAAAGGAATTAGATAAGAAATTATTTAGGAAAAATTACAATTATTTATAGCAAACAAAAGCTAAATTGCATTAAATCATGCAATGCAGAAGATTTTAACAAATGTTTCTTATTAGTTTATCGATCTAATTGTTGTTTTAATTTTTCAAATTGAGCCTAATAGAGAATATAACAAATAGGAAAAAGATTTTTATCTGTAATTTTTTTCAAGTTCATTAAATTAAACACAATATTATTGTTTTCCGTTTTTTAAGTTCTAATTTATTTTAAAAAACAAAAAATTAATTTTATTATTTTCTTTAGATTTGTTATAACTGTAAACAAATCTTTGAAAAAAGATAACATTAGGCTATTGAAGTGTTGAAAGTGAAAATTTACAAATATTAATATGCAGGAGAAGAAAATCAAATATGTTTATTAGTGCCTTGTATAAAATATCCTGAACATTCCCTTTCCTGTTCTAGCAACTTGAACTCATTGTAAGGCATAACTAGTTCACATTAAAGGAGATTTTCTTAATTTAATTCTCTTAAAGTTTATAAAATAGATTTACTTTATACAATACAGGATACTTTATACAATACATGATACTTTATACAATACAGGATACTGTATACAATACAGGATACTTTATACAATACAGGATACTTCATGCAATACAGGATACTTTATACAATACAGGATACTGTATACAATACAGAATACTTTATACAATACAGGATACTTTATATAATATAGGATACTGTGTACAATACAGGATACTGTATACAATACAGGATACTGTATACAATACAGTATACTGTATACAATACAGGATAATTTATACAATACAGGATACTTTATACAATACAGGATACTTTATACCATACAGGATACTTTATACAATGCAGGATACTTTATACAATACAGGATACTTTAAACAATACAGGATACTTTAAACGCTACAGGATACTTTATACAATACAGGATACTTTATACACCACAGGATACTTTATACAATACAGGATACTTTATACAATACAGGATACTTTAAACAATACAGGATACTTTATACAGTACAGACTAATTTGTACACTACAGGATACTTTATACAGTACAGGATACTTTGTACAATACATGATACTTTACACAATACAGGATACTTTATACACTACAGGATACTTTATACAATACAGGATACTTTATACACTACAGGATACTTTATACAATACAGGATACTTTATACAATACAGGATACTTTATGCACTACAGGATACCTTATACACTACAGGATACTTTTTACACTACAGGATACTTAATACAATACAGGATACTTTATACAGTACAGGATACTTTGTACAATACAGAATACTTTATACAGTACATGCAGGATACTTTTTATAATACAGGATACTTAATAAAGGCTAATTAAAAAAACTTTAGATTGAATACATTTGAGAAAAAGATGTAAAAATATATTTTTTTGGCTTTTAAGTAGTTGGAACACCAGAGAAAGGAATTAATTTAATCTCTCCGATTGGAAAAGAAGCGGATTAATGTTTCTAGAGGAAACCAAATTCTTAAGTCAAGTCTTTCAAAAACATTATTGCACTATTAACAAGGAAATAGTAATTATCAAAACATATGATAATTTAAAAAAAATGAATGATTTAGTTTAACCTAGAGCCTAAAGATAGAATTTCTACATTTTAAACTTGTTTGATGAATCCGCCATAGATCTGGAATTGGAATCAATTCACTTCAAAGAAAACTTATATCACTTTTTATTCTAATGTCATGTGAGTCCGTAGTGAATCAAAATAAACACTATTCTTTTTCCTAAATTATTATGACAGTTTTCTTCTAAAGTGGAAAAAAAGAAAAAAAAAACTTTGCAACAAACTCAAGTTTACTAAACTCTAAATCTTTGCAACCTGATGGTGTAAATCTTAGATATTTCAAACTTAGATTATTTAATCTAATAGAATATATAAACTAGAATATCAAAGGTCTAAAGATATAGGGATTAGAAAATTAGAGTTGAAGGCGAGAACTTAGTTCATGAACACATTTTTGCTGTTTTTTTTTCTTATACAAATCCATATTTTGCGTTTAAATGTTCTCATGTTGTGAATGGTTAACGGCACTCTTGACATCGAGAATCATTTGAAAACTTTATAAGTTTGATAAACCATGCCATCAGAATTATTCCAATAAAAGCATGTATATAACCAAAATGTTTATTGTGACACACACTACTCTATTACAATGTATAGGAAAGCTAAATGTCTCCAGCTCACAAGCTGGTCAACTTACTACTCCGTCCTTTCTACATTACAAAGACACACATATAGATAGATAGACAGATAGACCCCCGGGGAGATTATAGATTCACGAGACACGGTGGGTAGGAAAACAAAAGATAGTGGGGGGGGGGGCTTTTTTACCATTTTTACGAAGTCACACCAGAAAGAAATATATACACCATAACAGGATGAATATAACATAAAAGGGTGAATACACCATGAATGAATAAATACACCATAGGAGGATGAATACAACATAAAGGGATGAATACACCATGAAAGGATGAATACACCATGAATGAATGAATACATTATAAAAGGATGAATACAAATGGAAGGAAGGAATACTACGTGAAGGGATAAAAACACCATGAAGAAATGCATTACACCATGAAAGTTAGTTTGTGAAGATTTTCAAGGAGTGACTAAACAAACAAATCAACAAGTCTCTATAGAAGAGGTTTCGATTACCCAATCAAAGGAACTGATTAATGGACTCACAGTCTATTTGTAGTAAATGCCGTTCTCTTAAAAGTTCGTCCCCGAAACTGTATCTGTCCAGGCTCAACTTGCAGTCCGCTATCCAAGTCAACCAGCACACAACCCACCTCCGGCTCTGAATGCCACACAGGGACACAAGTGTAGCTGATCAATCTAGCTACCACTCAGAATCTAAATGCCACACAGGGACACAAGCGTACCTCATCAATCTAGTTATTACTCAGGCTCTAAATGCCACACAGGAACACAAGTGTAGCTGCTCAATCTAGCTACCACTCAGGCTCTAAATGCCACACAGGAACACAAGTGTAGCTGATCAATCTAGCTATTACTCAGGCTCTAAATGCCACACAGGAACACAAGTGTAGCTGATCAATCTAGCTATTACTCAGGCTCTAAATGCCACACAGGGACACAAGTGTAGCTGATCAATCTAGCTACCACTCAGGCTCTAAATGCCACACAGGAACACAAGCGTACCTCATCAATCTAGTTATTACTCAGGCTCTAAATGCCACACAGGAACACAAGCGTACCTCATCAATCTAGTTATTATTCAGGCTCTAAATGCCACACAGGAACACAAGCGTACCTCATCAATCTAGTTATTACTCAGGCTCTAAATGCCACACAGGAACACAAGCGTAGCTATTAAACAAGCTACTAATTCGGCTCTAAATGCCATACAGGGACATAATCATTGGCTATCTATTAAGCCTTTAATCGATATCTGCCCTAAACGAGGTATATGATCTTAAACCGATTACTCAACGGAGTAAAAATACTCTACACTGTAGTCAAAGCGGAGTTCTGATTCTAACTGATCTCTATTTACAAATCTTTATGTTACATGTTAAGTTCCAATAGGTATTCACAATATTAAGCAGGTATATAATCTAATCACAATACCTAACTAGTCTAGTCGCAGTATAAGATTTATGCAGTTAGGGATTATATAGGTATGTTCAAACAGCAATTATTACATATTGTTTATATTTTGAAACCTTATGTTGTAGACCTTCGATATTACAAAATAGGAATTCTGCTAAATCTAATGATCAAAGTTTGAAATATTGAAGGTTTTTACCATCACGTTACAAAGAAATAAAGATTAACATTCAATTTTGAGATAAGTGTTTAGGTGCTTTAAATATGTAACGTCTTTAATGCTTGAAATATCAGCAAACGATCTGTTCTGATCTCCAGTCACAATTTTGAAATGTTTGAAACACTAATTCTTATCTTTTGCCAAGTACTGAACAGTGTTTAAGGTAAATAGTTAACCTTGTTATTCAGTCAGACATTGAGGAAAATATTCGGAAAGAGACAAGAGAGACTACATAGACTACAGAGACTACATAGACTACAGAGACTACATAGACTTCAGAGACTACATAGACTACAGAGACTACAAAGACAACAGAACAAGAGAGACACCAGAGAAAGTAAAGGCAACATAGAGACAACAAAGACAACAGAGACAACAGAGACAACAGAGACAACAGAGACAACAGAGACAACAGAGACAACAGAGACAACAGAGAGCAAAGACAACAGAGGAAACAGAGACAACAAGACAACACAGACAACATAGAAAACACAAACAACACAGACAAGAGAGACAAGAGAGAAAAGAGAGGCAAGAGAGAAAAGAGAGGCAAGAGAGACAAGAGAGAAAATAGAGACAAGTGAG